AGTTCCTCTCCACTTTTACCTGTATCTTTGTTTTTTATTCTCCAGATGTCAGTACCTGGAATTTTTTATTTTTTTTTAACCCATATTTTGCTTTCTTATGTCTTGGATAGAATAAGGGTATCCCTCTATATTTGCAGTACTATTCTCTTTTCAAGTATTAACGTAGGTTAAATTCTTTAAATTTTTAAATTTAACTTGGGTTTTGATTCTTTAGTAAAGGGCTGAGAAAATTACTTTGGTTAAACTTCATTGATACTTTTGTTCTTCCTTAATGCATTTGTAAAGTTCTTATTAATCTTTGCAGGTGTTCACCAAACAAGTATCTCAGATGAGTTCCTTCTGCTGGTCCCCTCCACTTATAAAGGGATTGGTTTCTGTAGGCTAAGGAATTTAATCCCTGAAGATGTCCAACTCCCATAGGGACCTTTTATTCCATTAATCTGCCTCTAGCTTATTTTTTGATGGATGTATTTATTTCAAACAACAGAAGGATTCAGAAACATACCCCATTTACCTACACTGCTAATGCTATGCATCATTAAATCTGTTGGTTTCCAGGAGCTACACTGCTTAGGGTTTCAATGCTCTTTAGGTGATGGACTTTTTTTTATCCACTTGAAGGGAGTGCAGCAAACATCTGAACTGTCTAAATACTCTGAAAGAATGCACAGTTATTTTGAAGCCTGTAAGTTTTTTCTGAGGAGTAACCTTTGCCCTGAAAGAGATGCCAAGATCGCAGAAGGTTTAAGTTGCCATGCTAGATGCCTAAAGAATGACCATCATTAACAGAAGTTTTTCAGGCTTGCAATTCAAAAACTGATCGTAAACAGTAGTTGCTGTTTTAATATTCACAGGGTACCGATGCACACTTCTTGATCTGATCTGCATTAGAATAATTTGTAAATTAAAATCAAAGCATTTTCCATACATTTAAGAGAGCCCTACTCCTACACCTGAATGCAATGCTTAGTGTTCTAGCTGTCCATCACACCCTTCAATGAACAATTATTTGGCATACTGCTTAGTGGAAAGCCTCAAGCTGGTGGAGAATGTGTGAGTTCTTACACTGACCTGTGCATTGCAGGGGCTGAGATGCAGGTATTTGCTTGCTTGGGTTGTCCATCTTAGAGGGGTGGTAATCTCAGGCAGACGGGTGGGTCAAATAGTGAAAGGAATATTTTAATGCTTTGGTCTAGGAGTTTGATCTTACCAGTAGATCACTAGCATAGATGGCATGCCAGTGATTACATGAAAACATCTTGATTACCATGACAGGTAACTGCTCTGAGCAGGAATAGGTGGCAGAATGTTAAAAACGGTACAAGTACTGTAAGCACAACCATGAAAGATTTCATGAGAGTCTCAGCCTAGCTACAGTTGCATGGTGAATGCACTGAACTGCACTTAGAGCCAGTCAGCCAGGAAATGGTTATGAATGTGGCTGCAAGCCATATTTTGGAGAGGGATAAGGAATTGAGAAGAGATTTGACAGCATCGTTTGAGAACTAACATATATGTTATATTGTTGGTGTTGCTGGGGTTTTTGTTTTGTTTTTTTTTTAATAATATGCACTTATAAAAGTCCAAACTCTTTGGATTCAAGGACACTAGTTGCTTGAGCATATCTCAGTTGTTACATATACAACATCTACTATGCAATTATCTATACTACCTATTAATAAGGGTGATTTTTCTGTTTTTCATTACCTGTTGCTTTGTACTGCATAGAGTGAAAATTTGACACAGAGACTGGTAGTATGGATTTGTCTCTCTTTCCCAAAGAGATCTTAAGTGGCATGCCCCTCTTCATCTGCATAGGATTGAGTTCCTGAGTTTCAGACAGATTTGTTGACAAGTCTGAAAATTAATAAAAAATCAAGGAGCTGATCAGTGATTGAATTTTAAATATTTTCCAGTACTTCTGTTGGAAGTTTGAAATGGTCTCTGCAGGATTTTTTAACCTTTGGAAGATTCTTACATGGTTGGGTGGTGTCATCTGACATGCACCTCCTCACAACACAGCAGCCTTTACAAATAAGCATTTTGTACCATTTACTTCTGGAAAGTTTACATAATGTGGCACAGATATACAGGATGTGGTCCTTGAAATAGTTGCAGAAGAGAGGGTAGGATTTTGGAATTGTGGTTTTGCCACTGACAGGCATTCAATTCCTACAGCTCTTTTCCTGTTTGGAATAAAAATATTTATTGTAAAGATGTGTGAAGTTAAAATCATAAAGGCCTCAAGAATCTTAGATACATGTAGTTGCAGATGGTTTTATAAAAGAAAAACAGGTCAGTTGCCAATAGTATTTCATGTAATAAGAGCTTTAGTCTCCTACTTGCTTGTGCAGTGGAGTTGTTCTTTACAGAAATCTACTTTGAATTGATTGGAAGTTTTCGTTTTAGAGGAACTTTGCTTTTATTCATCTTACTTCTTTTGCCAATATAACAGTACGACAAAGTAACAGTCATGAATGTATAATACTCTTGCATCTTTTAATTGTAGTGCTCTGTCCACAGAAGTGCCTCATAGAAAACTTAGTAATAATTACCAAAATAAAATTATGATTTATGTTAGCAATAGTGCCTGGCTTAAATTCCTTAAAACAAGCATTTTTTTCCAAGTTTAAATTCTAAGAGTAATCTGGCATGCCTCCAAAGTTTGTAAGTTTCTTAAAGGCTGTGTTAGAGAACCAACTTGTTAAAAATCCATATGACATATTCTTCTTAGAGACAGTAGAAGGAGAAACCATGATGACTCCCTGCACAGTCATGGGATATCTTATTTGTCTTGAATAAAGCACTGAACATGAAAATAATAGAGCACAAAAATAGGCATTTGTCTTTGCGATAGCTTCGGGTCATCAACCAAAGAACCACATGCACGTATAGGGCTGTTCTAGAGAAGATCTCTCTCTGCAGTAAAAAGAAATACATTGCCTCCCACCCAATCTTGATATGTTTCTTTAACATAAGGATAGGGTTTAGAATTGGTCTTTTTACAGCACTTTTCTAAGAAAAAAATGAACCAAGTAATATGATGGGCTAAAATACTTATTTAAAGAATTTTCTTGAATTATTTAGTGATTTAGTGTTGCTTTTTCAGCTGTGTGCATGCTTTTCCACATCACTGACTTGTGGGTGGGAAATGTTAGTAATCTGAAGTACATTATATAAATGTAATGTCATTACAATAAGACAATCTATATGTGGGTGCACAGTGTCAGTATAAATACCCCATATGTGTGTATACATGTGTAGCCCCAATTTCACTATGTGCTGCAGCCGAACAGGTGTTTCTGAAAACATGGGCTGCGGCTATATTATTTACATCCACAGTTGTGTTATTTCTGTAATTCCAGCATTCCAGAAAATACTGGCAAAATATGTTATCTGTTGATTTTTTAGGTTAACATAGTTTGCTAACCCAAAAAAGGCACTTTGTCCAAGCAGGATATATTTTGAATGCATTATATGAATGCAGTTGCTTACCATGAGGCTTGCCATAACTTGAAAACAAAATACCAGGTTATGATGTGATCTCTTCAGTATGAGTATTTTTGTTGCGTTGAAACTTGGTAGACTGCAGCTATGTACCATTCCAGTCAGGCTAAACCTCAGTAAGACATAACTGACTAAAGTTGTGGGTGCCATTTCTTAAGAAATGTTGACTTTGAGATATTTAAGGAGTTGAGATACAAATATTCAAGCTTTTACATGCATTACAAGACATTTTCTTCCAAAGGTATACGACAGGATTTGTTATTTGTGGTTGGTTGTTTTTTTTTTTTTTTTACCTAGACAGTTTACCTATTTTAAAATGGACAATATTACTTGGATAGCCTTTAAGGAGAAGGCTTAATGAATACATGTAGTTAATCTTAGAACTCTCTGAAGAGCTGAATAAAAATACAATTGATTTTATGTAAGACTGTCCTGGTTTTCATTTTAAAGTTATGCTTACCAACTAAAACTTTACATGGGTGGAAATCAGTCTGACTTACCTGTATACATCTTAGCTGAGAACATGTGAATACAAAGAGGGCTTAAATTCTCCTGAAGGTGCACCTGATAATTCATTCTTTGATGAATTTTCCTACTGTAACCTGAAGGCAGAGGGTTGCATAAATGAAAGAAGGTGTGTAAAATCTATGTATGTGTCTCAGGAAAAAAAACCCCAATACTTTCCATAACTAGCAGGGGGGAAGGAGCGACACTGGATGTCATGAAATCAGCAGGGGCGCTGACTAGAAATTCATCTTTCCAGGGGAGCACTGGCATATAGCAATGATGTGTCCTGTATAAAACAGATTTTTTACTGTGGCATTGCTTAGGTATGTTAACAAGTGCAGGCGATAGAAGAATGTAGTTCATTGCATTCATAGTATGAAACGTGGGATGCGTTTTTCTAGAGGGTACGTTGTGGTGCCTATCAACCCCCTTTGCTGAGCCGATTTAGCTCACGACAGCGAGCAGAAGACTAACTTGGCCAAAGCCGAATCCTTGGCTAATGAGTGAGGCAACGCACTGATGTCGGAGCTGGGGTTTCGACAGATTAGCGAGCGGAGCGGGCCTGGGGGTCCAGCCGCCCTGAGTGGGGGCAAGGCACGGGCTGTGAGGAAAACGGTGCCCTTGGCGTGAGGGAAGCTGCGCCCTGCCGCCTCACAGGAGCGTGGGCTGCAGGACGCGACGCCTTCCTCCTGCCCTCCCTCTGTAAAACCTAGTCGGCTTTTTGGCAGGAACAACGTATTTTTGCCTCCAGCCTTAGCGACGCTTTTACCCCAGAGCCCTCACCCCACTCTCCGCACCCTGACACCACCCAAAGGGCGCTTGTGCGCGTGCGCAGCGGCACTCTCCCCCCCCGCGCAGCCCGCCTGGCAGGAGTGCTGCGCATGCGCGCTGCCCACCGCCACCTCCTCTCGGGAGGGAGGGCCGCGCCTGCGCGCTGCTTCGGCCCGGGGGGCGCAGCCATGTTCCGCAGCGGCGCGCGGCCACTGCCTCAGCCATGTTCCGCGGGCAGCGGGGCCCGCCGCGCCACGCCGGCGGCGGGGCGCCGGGCGGGCTGCGCAGG